CCTCTCTCAGGGAAATCTTGCATAATTTTAAACTTGACCCTTGGCTTTTTCCCTGCCCAAATAAATTTATTAACACCCTTCTGCCATTCACTTAAATTAATCTCATTCTTCAAAATCAGTAACATTTGGAACAGGAAAAGAAACTTGGGTAGAATATTCATTTTTATCACTGCAATTCTTCCCATGAGAGATAGTTGCAACTTCTCCCAATTCTTCAAGTCTTTCTGTACACTAACCCACAACCTATCATAATTGTTTTTGAATAATTTTGCATTAGAGACAGATAGCATCACCCCCAAATATTTTACCTTATTAACAATTTCAAAACCCGTCAAGTTAACCAAAGTCTGCTTCTCCTGAATAGTCATATTTTTTGGTAAGATTTTAGTCTTGTTAACATTAATTCTAAAACCCGAAACCAAACCATATTGATGAATTAACTGCAATAACTTTACTACAGAACTAATAGGTTGCGACAAAGTAACCACCAAGTCGTCTGCAAAGGCTCTTAACTTGTATTCTTTTTTATTAACTTCTACTCCTTTAATTTCCTGCGAATCTCGAATTTTGATCAACAATATTTCCAATGTTAAAACAAACAACAACGGTGATAGTGGACATCCCTGCCTAGTACCTTTTTCTATTGTAAATACCTCTGACAAACCTCCATTAACAATAAGTTGTGCCGTTTGTTTTTGATAAATTACCGTGAGAGCTTGTAATATCTTTTCACCAAAGTTCATCTTTTCAATTACTCTTAACATAAAATACCAATTCAGTTGATCAAAGGCTTTTTCAGCATCTAAAAAAATCAACCCTGCAGGGACTTGGTTGTTCTTGTCTAAATATTCTAATAAATTAATAATTTGTCTAACATTATTTTTCATATATCTACCAGTTATAAACCCAGATTGATCTTTATGCACAAGATGATGCACAACCCTCATGAACCTATTTACTAAAATCTTTACAAATATCTTATAATCCACATTTAAAAGAGATATGGGTCTATAATTCTTTGGTAAAGTGAGATCTTGCTCCTCTTTTGGAATCAAAGAAATAAAAGCACTACACCATGAAGGAGGAATCTCTGAGCCCTGTAGAATATCATTAAAAAGATCACTTAATGGTTGGCTCATCTCCTCCATTAAGACTTTGTAGTAAACAGCTGTCAAGCCATCTGTACCCGGTGCTTTCCCTACTTTCAGTTGCTTAATTGCTGTCACAATTTCCTCTTTAGTAATTAAACCATTAATTTCCTGTTTTTGATCCTCTGTCAATTGGGGAAAACTAACCTCACTTAAATATTTATTTATATCTAATATTTGCACATTAGTAGATTTATATAATTTTTGATAATAATCTAAAAAAGATTTCTTAATCAGTTCCTTCTGGAAGACTATTTTACCCTTATAATTTATTTTATCTATTATCCTCTGTCTCTGCTTCTTTCTTAATTGATAAGCCAACCATCTCACCTCAACTTTTTAATATATAATTCAAGGGGGCAAATATACTTTAATATTTTTGCCTACTACAGTAAAAACAACCCTTTGAGGTTAGTCTGACGGTGAGACAATGACTACCGCAAAGTCACCCAGCCAACTCTCTTGATCCAGGAAGGACTGGAGCTCACAATCGGCTGCTTTCTAGTCCATCTTCACCACTACACCACACTGACTCTCTAGTTTCTTTTTGTCTGGCATACGAACTGCAAGAGGCTTTGAAGTTTTTAAAAACAAGCCTCTGTGCCTCTACTATTTTTTTCCTGAGATGCCAAGAAAAACCTTGCAATCCTGAGGGATGATAATGCTATCTGAACTTGCTGAGGCAACTTAAGAATTTCCTCTACTAACAGTAACTTTTTGGTGATTATCAAGCAGCTGTTATACAGCATACAGAGATATAGCACTGGGACTATGGTTAGTTTACAATCCTGTACTGTCTTGGAGAGCTAGGAATAGCATGTTGAATTTTCTTTTTTAATGTAATAAAACTTGGATTGTCTTTTCAAAATAGGCTTTTCTAAGTCTATTGCATTCTGGGTTGGTTATTTTTTATGATATCATAAAGCCAAGGGGAAAGCATAATATGTTTAAATAAATAACTTTGAAATAAAGCTTTGAATTTACTTGGCCATTACATCTAATTCAAAGCAGTATGTTCCCTGGATTAATATAATATTCTCCATTCTCATATCATCAAATATGTCAACTGGCAGCTTCATAAACGGAAATAAGTGGCATCTATACAATGTTAAAGTAATTTTTTACTTAGTAATTTAAACTTACAAGTAAACTGTTGGAGAAGTCTTCATCATGGTTCAGTCCAAGCCGGGAATAAACAACATGGCGACTGCTTTAGAAAGAAGGTTGAAGAGGAGAGCCAGACAGAAAGATGGCTCTGGAAGAAGAGAGAGATCACATGTAGGGAATAGGGTATACTCTGGGGCTCTTGAGGTTGTTTCCTGTTCCTGTTTGAGGCTTTGTATTTCCCGTGCCATGTATTTTGACCTGAGTCTGAGTGCCCTTTGGCATCTGTGGGTTAATCCGATTATGTCCTGTCTTAGAGTTTGGGTGGGGCATGTAGATTTTATGTGTCTTTGTCTTCTTAATCTTCTAGCTTCAACCTTCCTGAATGGTTTACACCTGTGTTTCTACAGAGCTGGTTTCTGCTTGGGGGAGGGAGACTTGGGGCTATTAAGAAAAAACTGGGCATGCTTTTCTGCCTCTTTAAGATCCTTTGAGAAAATATATTTTTCTGCCCTTTTAATATTTCCTTCTCTGGGGGCTGACTTCTCACAAATCCCCCCTTTGTGCCATAAGTGTGTGTGAATGACATACTTCCTGGCACAAGTTTAAAATTGATCTGGTCAGGCTTGGTAAACAATCTTTAAACTGTTAAGCCAAAAAAAAAAAAAAACAGAAGACACTAATTGAGACAGCAGAAAAAGATCCCTGCAGTGGCTCCCAAAAGGGGTAGCTTCCAACCCATAAAGGTCTAAAGTCAGGGAAACGTTCTGTAAGATGAAAAAAAATTATAGTGCCCAATATTCTGTGCCAATCATTTTCAAATGTTGGATGTCACTTTGAGCTTCCAGTCAGGTTTGCACATTCCTCCCAAAATTCTTCACAGCCATGATTTGCTTCAGTACATAACCACTGGCTGCCCATTTTCAAGGGTTGTTTCCTGCCTTAGTTAGTGTATCCGGGTTTATAATGTCTAATTCAGGTTAACCAGTACGCAAGCCAGGCTATTAAATTTTCTTAAATTGCACATAGTGAGCCCTAGGACTCCCAATCTGAGTCCACCAGTGCAAGATATTCAGGGCTCAGGTTTGGAGATCTCTTTTCTGCTACCTTCTCAATATGAATTGCAAATCACCTGAAGGGGCCTGGTTCCCTCCTCCTTGGAATTTGCAGCAAGTTGTGCATGCAAAGCTTGGTGCAACAGAGCAAAATCAGCCTGGGGAACTTTACTGAAGGTAAAGGAGATAGACTTGATGTGATTATGAACGGCGTGTGTGCGTGTGTGCAGCTACTAATACAAAACAGGCAATACAAACATTCTCGATAAATTTCCCTCCCACCAGACAGAAGTCCAAGGTGTTCATGACTTGCTGTGCCAACTATTCCCAAATGCCATCACTCCATAAATACATTCAGCTGCTTAATTACAACACAAATGGGGCAAGAAAGAAAACCTTACAATGAGTTTCCACCCTCGCCCCCCCATAGTCTTCCTAATTTTGTTCTGAGGCTTCACGTAGGGACCAATGGCTCCAGGATTCCTTCCTTCCTCTGCAGCTTTCACAGGCATCTAGGGGAATGATAGGACTTGGGAAGATCTGTTCCAACCTGTCCAGGTTGCATGGTGGCTTTTTAATGGATGGCTGGATTCTAATCCAATTCTCTGGCTCAAATGGATGGAGGCAGCATCTGAGTCAATCTGCTCTGCTTCCAAAGGTTGTGGGGGGTCATCTGTGTAGGGCTGAAACACATGAGATCTCCTCCCTCCTTTTTGGGTGGACTCTCCCAGGAGAGGCAGACAAAGGCATGGAGAACAGAGGATAAGAAAAGGAGAAGTATCGTTGGGCAGAATGGGGGGGTAGCTTGCAGACAGAGTTTGAAAAAGGCATTAATACTGCAGTGGTTAAAGAAACAGATAAGATGGAGACAACACAGATGAAGACAAAAGAGAGGCTGGATTCTGGTAAGAGAACAACAAAATGAAAGGTCTCATTTCTGAAATTGAGCATTTGCAACATGTTAGAGAGGACTTTAGGACTTGCAACTTGAAAATAATAAAGTTGGAAGGGACCTTGGAGGTCATCTAGTTCAACCCCCTGCTCAGGCAGGAAACCCTATACCATTACAGACAAAGGGCTGTACAGTCTCTCCTTAAAAACTTCCAGTGTTGGAGCATTCACTGCTTCTGGAGGCAGGTTGTTCAACTGTTTAATTGTTCTCAATATCAGGAACTTTCTCCTTAGTTCTAAGTTGCTTCTCTCCTTGATTAGTTTCCATCCGTCGCTTCTTGTCCTGCCTTCAGGCACTTTGGAGAATAGCTTGACTCCCTCTTCTTTGTGGCAACCCCTCAGATATTGGAATACTGCTATCATGCCACTCCTAGTCCTTCTTTTCATTAAACTAGACCAGGGGTAGGCAACCCAAAACACTCAAAGAGCCACTTAGACCCATTTCCCACCGAAAACAAAACACTGGGAGCCGCAAAACCCTTTTGGCATCTAAAATGCAGATAACGCTGCATATATCCTTTTTTTTCCTTTGTGCTATGTATAAAAAATTATAGTGTGTTGCATTTATGAAATCAATGAACTGCTACAAAGAAAACATTTTTTTATTTCTGCACTGCATGCAAGAAAAACATTTCGAACTAAAAAAAAAGATGCTGTGTTGAAGGTTACCTTCAAGTAAAATACCGAATGTCTATTTGAGTCCTCCTCATATTTATTTATTAAATAAAAAGCCAAACTTAACTTATCCGTCTGCAGCAAACCCAAACGTTGTCTGCTTGTCATTGGTCCGTCCATCCACCCATCTGTCATACCGCTCGTCTGTCCGCGTATCTTCCCGCCCGCCAGTCCATCTGCCGATCCGACCGATCGTCCATCTGTCTGCCCGTCCATCCGTCTGCCCGTCCATCTGCCCATCTGTCCGTCCATCCATCTGCCCGTCCGCCAGTCCATTTGCCTATCCGCCAGTCATCTGTCTGTACTGGAGCGTGCAGTCAGCTGACAATGAATTAAAAAAGAATTATTTCACTGAACGTCAAATATATATTTGCAAAATAATAGTCAATTTTTATTTCAACCTGCAACAAAAAACATTTTGAACTCCAAAAAAGAAGACTCTGGGTTGCAGGTTACTTTCAAATACAATAACAGCTATTTGAGTCCTCATATTTATGAAATAAAAAGCCAAACTTAACTTATCCGCCTGCAGCAAACCCAGAATGCTGTGCTTCTTTCATTCCATCCATTCTGTCCGCCCACCAGTCCGTCTGCTTGTCCGTCTGTCTGCCTCTCCATCAGTCCATCTGCCCATCCCTCAGTCCATCTGCCTGTCCGTCAGTCTGTCCATCTGTCTGCCTCTCCATCAGTCCATCTGCCCGTCTGTCAGTCCATCTGCCCGTCCGTCCACTTGTATGTCCATCTGCCCATCCGCCAGTCCATCTGTTTGTATTGGAGCATGCAGTCAGCTGTCAACCAATAAAAAAAGGACTATTTCACTGAACAGCACCAAATATATATTTGCAAAATAATAGCCAGTTAAAATATTTACTTTACCTGGTAAATGTGATTTTTGCTTCTCAACATCAGCACACAGCATCTGAACATCAGGGCTGTAAGACGTCACCTTCATCTTTAGACAAGATTGCAGGCTATTGTCTGTGAGGCGTGAACGATATTTGTTTTTAATGTAATTCATGTTTGAAAAGACCTGTTCACATACGTATGTGGATCCAAAGATCGACAGGACTCCAAATGCGTATTTTTTCATATTTGAGTAAGTGCTGGGGATGGTATTCCATGTGTTGAATATAAGTTTGTCCTGTTTGGGAAGGTTTTCAATGTCACTCCATTTGTGATTCAGCGCAAGATTGGCCTTCTGATGGGCAACATCTTCAAGATTATCTCTCAAGCGTTGGAACTTGGACACCCATATATCTTTGTCGGCTATGTCTGCAAGTTCCATCTCCAAGTTGGGTTGACTTACCCCTGCAAATGCAGTCATATTAAATGCAGATGGATCGCTGGCCAGGGGAGTGACAGGGAAAGATAATGTGGTTTTTTCTTTTCGGAACTCACAGAATCGCTTCCCAAATGATGTCTGCATTGCAATGATTGCAGACTGCAAATACTCTGAATTTATCGTATTGTTACCTTCTTTGAACTGTCGCAAAGAGGGGAAGTGACACAGTGTACCTCTCTGTAAATCTCTGCCAAACACTGTCAACTTGCGCTCAAATGCCAAAACTTCCTCCAGCATGTGCAGGGCTGTGCCTCCTTTACCCTGAAGAATTGTGTTCAGTGTGTTCAGGTGTGCTGTCATATCAACCATGAAGTGTAGCTTTTCCAGCCACTCTGGTTGTTCCAGCTCAGGAAAGGTGAGCCCTTTGCTGCCCAAGAAAGTTTTCACCTCTTCCAGACATGCAGCAAAGCGTTTTAGCACCTCCCCTCTGGACAGCCACCGGACTTTGTTGTGCAGCAGGAGATCAGAATATGTGCTTTCCACCTCCTCTAGTAGCAAATGGAACTGACGGTGATTTAAACCTTGTGCCATTATTTTATTGACAATCTGAATGACAACATTCATCACTTCTGTGCATTCCGGAGGAAATGTTTGAGCGCACAACGCCTCTTGGTGAAGAATGCAGTGAAATGTTAGCAGCTTTCTACCCAGCGACTTCTGCAGTAAGCCACAAAGCCCTTGTGTGCTCCTGTCATACTTGGTGCCCCATCAGTAGCCACTGACACCAGGTGGGTGGTGTTTATTTCATTGGTTCTTAAATAATCTAAGACAGCCTCACAGATGTCCTCTCCCCGTGCTTGGCCTTTTAGTGGTATCAACTCAATCATTTCTTCCTGTGGCCCAGCAGAGTTCACATATCGGCAGAACAGCGCTATTTGTTCAATATCATTTTTGTCTTTGGATGCATCACAGGCAATTGAGAACGCCTCAGCTGAATTGATGTCTTTAATTTGCTGTCCGGTGATGTTTTCTGCCATTTTTATGGTTCGATCTTTGACAGTCTTCGCAGAGAGAGGCATATCTCTGATTTTCTGCACAATTTCACTCTTGTTTTTGAAGTCCGAGAATAGATGTTCTGAAATCTTAATGAATGATTCCTTGATATACTCTCCATCTGTGAATGGCTTCCCATGTCTGACTATTTCCTGAGCGGCCACAAAACTAGCATATGTAGTCGAATTTGCAGACTTCACCCACTTCTGAAAATGATTCTTGCTCAGATCAACCTTCCACATCAATTCCGAAACGGCTTTTTTTCTCTCATCTCCATCCGGGTATTTTTCAGCAAAGGCTGCGTGTTTATTCTGGAAATGTCTTGCAACATTCGACTTTTTGTTGTTTGCCAATTTCTCATTACATATTAAACATACTGGTAAACCAGTCTTGTCAGTTGTGAAAGCAAATGAATGTGCCCATGTATCATTAAACACTCTGTTTTCTTCTGAAATTTTTCTTTTCTTGCATGATTTATCCATGGTTGGCCTACTGGAGGTTGAAAAGCACAATAAATCTCATGCTGGCGGGTGTCACATATTGGCAGTTATAACCAGTACTGGGAATCAAATCATTTGACAATCAGTTCACAGCAACATTCCCCCACCACCACCACTTCCCCCCCACCCTGGTTGAGCAGTCCACTGCCACTGCTGCTTCCCCCCCCAGGACGGAGCACTCCACCGCTGCTTTACCCAGTGGCGAGGGTGGAGTTTGGGAGCAATCCTGCTGTTGCACTTCCACTTCCATCAACTATGATCCCCCCTCTCCAGCCAGCCAACTCTTCATGAATTTAACATGGACATTAAAATGTTTCAACACCTTTACCAATATCATAAAGAAAAGTTTAAGAACTTTAATTGTGCTTGATCAGGTTCACTCATTTTCCTCCAGTCACTCTCTTTGCATCTCTTACCCACTTCATCACCCTCTGAAAGCCAGAGGACTCATAATGATCCACATTCATACAGAGGATCCTGCAATCTAATCTGAGCTGTCATAATCTTTTTTATAGCAGGTTATGCTCTATCTCTCTTTGTCCATCTCTGTCTCTCATTACAATGTTCTCTGTTTTTCAAATATTTTTATTAAGGATTATAAAGGAAAAGAGTAAAAGCCGGTACAAACAATAAAAACCACAAATAGAAAAATAGAAAAGAAAACAAATGGGGGGGGGGAGAGAAAAGGACAGGAGAAAGAGGGGAAAAAACCCCTTTCTCCTTCATCCCAACAGGTAAAAACAATTTTAGCAGCTAATCTACCATATTTAAATACAGCATAATTATCCCCATATTTCATCTCTTAATTAAACAAACATCAAAATAGTTCATTAAACATTCTTTACTAAAAGTCTAGTAAGGACAACAACATATATTCATATTCTCCTCCTCCTCTCTCTCTCTCTCCCCCCCCCCCCATCTCCCTCTCCCTCCCAGCAGAGCACTTACTTGGAAAGTAGGACAAGGACCTGCAGAATTAACCAACCGGCTTTCTTTTTCTTTATTCAGAAAAGTATTCCAGCAGTGTTCAACAAATCACTGTAAAGAGACGAATACCTTCTTGTTAAGCCATTTTATTTGGATGAGTTGGATTTGTGTTGTTAAGTGAGACATTTAATGAGTTTTGCCCCATTTGTGACCTTTCTTACCACCATTGCTAAGTGAATTACTGCAGTCAATAAGTTAGTAATCAGGATGAGAAAGTGGAAATTACACATTGCAACTAAAACGGCATGTAGTTCCCTGTGCGATGCAAGACATATGATATTCAGGGGTGCTCCTGAAGAAAAGGCTGTATGCAGGTAGAAAGGGTTATATTCGAGTAAGGGGGTGCAATGATTACAATAAGCTCCTGCATATAGAATAGAATAGAGCTGGAAGGGACCTTGGAGATCTTCTACTCCAGCCTCCTGCTTAAGCCTGTGCAGACAAGTGGGGGTCTTTAAATAGTCATGTCCACTTTTCCCCCTTTTTTCCTATTTTTTGCAACGAACAGTTGCAGACATCCACATGTGTATGCACGTCAGGTTTGGAAGCCTCCCTTTAAGTTTGTGCGTGTGCACAGACATACACTGACTTAGGAGTGAAAACACTGCTGGTAGATCCTGTGGGATTTTTGCATGCAGTTTACTTGTGTGCGGGGGGAGGGGGAGCAGGAAGCGCGGAGCAGTCAGTCAGAGTCCAGATTGTTTGCTTATTGAGAGAGGTAGAGAGAGAGAGGGAGGGGGAAAGAAAGAAAGAAAGAAAAGACAAAGAAAGGGAAGACAAAGAAAGAAAGAAAAAAAGAAAGAAAGAAAGGGAAGACAAGAAAGGAAGAAGAAAGGCAGGAAGAATATGGGAAGGAAGGTAAAAAGAGAAAGAAAGAAAACAGGAAGGAAAGAAGAGGAAGATACAACTTTCAGCAAAGCAAAGTCCCTGCAAAAGAAACACATTTGCATACAAGCAGCTCCCCCCTCAGCCTCGCTTGCAAAGACCTTGCCCTGCCTGATGAGGCCCTTTACAACCGGAGCAGTGGACACGGTAAAGGCTTTGCTTGGAGCAGGGAGGTCCCAAGAAGCCTTTGGGAGCCGAGCCTCCCCCCCCCACCAAGCCCTTCAGCCGAGTGAAGCCGGGACCGTTTATAACGGCAGCAGCAGCCATAATAAAGGCTTTGCTTGGAGCAGGGAGTTCCCAAGAAGCCTTTTGGAGCCGAGCCTCCCCCCCCCAAGCCCTTCAGGCGAGTGAAGCCGGGGCCGTTTATAACGGCAGTAGCGGGCATAATAAAGGCTTTGCTTGGAGCAGGGAGTTCCCAAAGAAGCCTTTTGGAGCCGAGCCTCCCCCCCCAAGCCCTTCAGCCGAGTGAAGCCGGGGCAGTTTATAACGGCAGCAGCAGCCATAATAAAGGCTTTGCTTGGAGCAGGGAGTTCCCAAGAAGCCTTTTGGAGCCGAGCCTCCCCCCCCACCAAGCCCTTCAGCCGAGTGAAGCCGGGGCTGTTTATAACGGCAGCAGTGGGCATAATAAAGGCTTTGCTTGGAGCAGGGAGTTCCCAAGAAGCCTTTTGGAGCTGAGCCTCCCCCCCATGAAGCACTTGGGCCGGGTAATAAGAGGCCGTTTTGAAAAGGGCCTACTTAGCTTTCTTGCAGTCTGTGAAGACTGAAGAGAGAGAAGAGGTTTGTGGGCAGTCCCACAAATGGCTTGTGGGCAGTCCCACAAACCAAAGAAGTTCGTCCAATGAATTCAAACTGCACAAGTTTTTTTTTTTCATGAGAAGTTTGAATTGAATTGGTTGAACTTCTTTAGACCCTTTTTTTTTAAATGCACATGGGCTGGGAGCCGCAGGAGACGGCTCAAAGAGCCGCATGTGGCTCCGGAGCCGCGGGTTGCCGACCTGTGAACTAGACAAATCCAATTCCAGCAACCGTTCCTTATACGTTTTAGTCTCCAGTCCCCTAATCCTCTTTGTTGCTCTTCTCTGTACTCTTTCTAGAGTCCCAACATCTTTTTTACATCGTAGTGACCAAAACTAGATTCAGTATTCCAAGTGTGGCCTTACCAAGGCATTGTAAAGTATTAATACTTCATGTGATCTTGATTCTATCCCTCTGTTAATGCAGCCTAGCACTGTGTTGGCTTTTTTGGCAGCTGCAGCACACTGCTGGTTCATATTTAAGTGATTGTCCACTAGGACTCCAAGATCCCTCTCACAGTTACTACTATTGAGCAAGGAACCACCTATATTATACCTGTACATTTGGTTTTTCTTACCTAAATGTAGAACTTTACTTTTTTCACCATTGAATTTCATTTTGTTAGATAGTGCCCAATATTCAAGTCTGTCCAGATCTTCCTGTATCTTAAGCCTGTCTTCTGGAGTGTTGGCTATTCCTGCCAGCTTGGTGTCGTCTGCAAATTTGATGAGTTCCTCATCTCTCCCCTCGTCCAAATCGTTGATGAAGATGTTGAAGAGCATTGGGCCCAGAACAGAGCCTTGGGGCACCCCACTGTACACTTCCCTCCATGTAGATTTATTTTATTTTATTTATGAGACTTATATACCGCTTTAAGTGCAAGCACTCTCTAAGCGGTGTACACCAGTAAGCAATGTATATATATATTTACATTGCCCCCAACAATCTGGGTCCTCATTTTACCTACCCCGGAAGGATGGAAGGCTGAGTCAACCTTGAGCCGGTGAGATTTGAACCGCTGACCTGCTGAACACAGTCAGCTAAAGTGGCCTGCAGTACTGCACTCTAACTGCTGCGCCACCTCGGCTCAATGCGGTTCCATTGAGGACCACACGCTGAATATGGCCGGTCAGCCAGTTACGAGTCCATCTGGTGCTGATGCTGTATAACCCACATTTTTCTATCTTATCAAGTAGTAGGTTGTGATCTACTTTATCAAATGCCTTACTGAAGTCCAAATAAATTATATCCACAGCATTCCTCTGGTCCACTAATTTTGTCACTTGGTCAAAAAATACAATAAGATTTGTCTGGCATGATCTGTTTTTGACAAACCCATGTTGACTTTAGTAATGACTTTATTTGCCTTTAGGTGTTCGCTGATTTGTTGTTTGATTATCTTTTCCAGAATCTTCCCAGGTATTGAGGTCAGGCTGATAGGTCTGTAGTTTCCTGTATCCATTTTTTCCTCCTTTTTTGAAGATGGGAACTACATCAGCTCTTTTCCAGTCCTCTGGTAGTTCCCCAGTGCTCCAAGATCTTTGCAAAAATATAGTTCAGTGGTTCTGAGATCACATCTGCCAGTTCCTTGAGAACCTTGGGGTGTAATCTATCTGGTCCTGGTGATTTGAACTTGTCTAGGCTGGACAGGTGCTCACTTACCATTTTCTTGCCTATCTTAACTTGTGTTTCTAATGTGTTTTTATGATACTGTTTTTGGTAGATTGGATTGTTTTTTCCCTTTGTGTAAAGACAGATGCAAAAAACGAGTTGAGTAATTCTTCTTTCTCCAGCAGGATGGGTGTAGAATCCACTGATTGGGTAATCTAAGCCTTCCTGCTCAGACTAAGACAAAAAAACTTCACCACTCCTCCTTCTGGGCGTGCCTTCCCCAGTTTTTGTCTTAGTCTCGAGCTCATAAAACGCTTTATTGAAGGCTCCCTAGCTAGGTTAGATTCTCTTTGTTCTTTTTTTTTGTTTTAATCTGATGAAAATTGGCTAGATTTAAATTTAAATTTGATCAATCAATTGGACTAATTCGGCTTTTACTTGGAAAATTCCAAAATCGATTGAGATTGTGTTGGGGGGGATAAGGACTCTGTCCTTGCTCCTCTGCAGCCCTTTGGGGCTCTGAAGGGGGAGGCTGCAGGCTTTGTCCGGAGGGGAGCTCCCATTCCGACGATCAGCTGGGCAGCGGAGATCGGCTTTTCAGTGCGGAGACCTCCGGAGCGCCTTGTTCGCGTCGAGGCTTCGAGGGAGCGTTTTCCTGACTGCAGCCTCATCCGGATCGCAGCGAAGGCTGCGCTACATATCGCAAGTGCTTGGGGACCGGGGGGAATCAGGAATTCAAGCTATTTCGTTTCCCTGCTGCATGCAATTGATTCTCCCTTAAAGAACTCCAAGATTCTCCCTCTTTGCTTCTCTGGAGGTCTTAAAGGTCTTGCGGCCGCCATTTTGACCGCATGGTCTTAGCGCGGCTGCTATTCTTAACGGCTCACGTGGCGGACGCCATTTTGGAGGCCTACTTAAATTATAGCAGCATCATCAGCGTTATTACCTGCATTATTGTAGATTCTTAGTTGTTGCCTGAGTGCCTTGGTCTGGGAGCAGGCCCGTTCAGGGGGGAAGATATTTCGTTATACCCCCAGCGGCTGTGGTGAAAATCGTGGGGGCTACCTCAGGTGTGGGTCTTGTCTGCATTTAAGCAGACCAAGGTATTGATATCTGGTCTTAAGACCTAGAAAAGAAGAGCGAAGAGATATTTTTCTTGACCACTTGTTTCTCAGTCAGTCAGTGACCTTTAGTCACAGGGCCTGTGCAGGCAGTATTAGAACACTGTCTGGCTGCTCTTGCCATTGTTATTTGTTCAGAGCGAGGATCGGTTTTCCATCTCTGACTGTTTGATCTGCGTGTTGGGTTCCCCCCATTTCTAGGTACAACTGTCCAGGAGTACCTAGACTGCAATGGCCCCAAGCAATTCAGACCAGTGTCCCCCCCCGCACAAACAAAACGCAGATCAGAGGAATTGGAAGTGGGGGGGGGAGAAAAAACCTAAAACCAAACATTTGTCCACAAAAGAAACCTCCAAAACAGCTGAGTGAGAGGCCTCTCAGCACTGGAGAGAGAATTCTCCAAGGCACAAAGGCTCAGGCCCAGTGGGGCTGAATTGGTTTCCCCCGCCCCACTGGACATCCCTTCGACAGAGCCCCAATTTGAATCCTCACAGGATGCCCCAAGGTCTTGGTCTCCTCAGGAGGAAACTGAGCAGGTTGGTCCTCCTCACTCCTCTTCCTCATCGTCACATCAAACACCTGAGAGCAGGCATGCCTCAACGGAGGTTGGGGCCAGCTCCAAGGACCAAGAGGAAATGTGGTCCCAGAGTCAATTCCAGGCTTTCATGCACCACACATTCAAGCAGTTTATGTCATCCACTGGGAGTAGCCAGTTACAATCACAACCTCTCCTCCCACATCCATTCCCCTACCTTAGGTGGAACGCGACACTAGGCCCAGCTCTGATGTCTCAGAGACATCCTCGCAATTAGGAGAGGAGGGATCAATGGAACTGGGAGTACCCGACACTCCCTTGTCTGAGGATGAGGACCCAACTCCTGAGCAGGTGACATCTTCGGGTCTCTTTGATCCGGCCATTTTTCGGTCTTTCCTCCTAAAGGCCATCGCCACGGTAAAACTTATCTCGGCCCAGGAGTAGTCACCATCTACCTCCACTAATCAGGAGGCCAACCCCCTGTTTGCGGAAAAGGTCAAGGAAAACCCACAGATTCCGTGTCCATTAGTCTTCAGGACTACGGTGGAAAAGCAGTGGTCATCCCTAGCTACCACTCCTTCCCAGAGCAGTTTGGACAAGAAACTTTATAATGTCGCTTCTTCCTTTGCTTCTCTCCTAGAAGTTGCAACTGTGGACGTTCCCCTGACATCTCTGTTCTCCAATACCGCCATTCCTGGGTACATGGCTGAATTCTTGAAGGCGGAGGACAAAAAGTTCGAGTTCTCTCTTTGCAGAGCTCACCAATCTTCGGCTTGGGCCATAAGGGCGGCAACTTCATCCTCCTTTGCACATTCAGCGATAATGTGGCTGCAGGAGCTCCAGGCTCTCACTCCACCGGATCAGGTCAGGGCGCACCAATCAATAGGCAAGATTGTTGCAGCATCCGAGTACATTGCGGATGCATCCTTACACTCGGCCAGATGTTCGGCCAGATCTATTGCCTCAGTGGCGTCCCATAGGTTGCTCTGGTTGAAGCAATGGCGCACTGACTTAAAGGCAAAGTGGCGCCTAGCAACATCCAAATACAGTGGCACCCACCTCTTTGGCCCAGTCCTAGAGCCTCACATCATTGAAGGCAAGGACAAGCAAAAGATGATCGCCCATCCCTCCAAAAAATCAGATAGACATCTTCAACAGGATTACCGCAGGCCACCATTCCGTCCCAGTGGCACCTGGGAGTGGAGACAGCCCTTTCGGGCAGGGCAGTCCTGGGATTGGCCCAGAGGCTCACGATCCTACTCCTCCAGACAGGATCACAGCAGGACCGCCAGATTAGCGGAGCCAGGGGTCAGTCCCAGACCAAACGTCCCTTTAGGGGATCGGGCAATCGTCCATACAGGCGGTCCAAGTGACGCCAAGGAGGACTACCCCATCAGGGGACGACTGGCACTGTTCTACGATATCTGGGAGGGCACAACCACAGATGCTTGGGTCAGGGAGACCATAAGACAGGGTCTCTCCCTAGAGTTTCGATCTTCTCCCCCAGATCGTTTCATACAGTGTCCGGTTTCAAACAATACATCAAAAGCACAACTAGTCATGACAGCCATTGCACACTTACTAGACATCAGGGCCATAGAAAGGGTACCTCAGGACCAGATAGGAGAGGGGTTCTACTCCTGTTCGTAGTTCCCAAGGCCTCAGGGGGCTGGAGGGCGATACTGGACCTGAAAGGTCTAAATTACTTCCTAACTTACAGGAGG